AATAACTTAAGAGTCAGAAGGAAGAATTTTCTTCCTTTATCTCTAACCTGCTGATACGGAAGTGGAACTTCAAGTTCCCAATTCCGCAGTAGCTGATACTGCCATCAGAGTGTGTACGTGCCGGAAGGCCTGAAACAGAAACTCTATACCAAAGCGCTGAAACCCTAAACCCTTCAAATCCCAAGAACTCATCAGTGATTCTCCTTACTGTCTGTTATATGAATCTTGTGATATTAGTTCGGAGCATTTGGTATTGGATCAATAATCTCCCAATTGATATTTTTCTTTGTTATCATCATTTGTCTGCTTGATGTATTGATATTGTAAGCAGAAATTCTGTCTTGGTCTCTCATTGGAGCTGAACGGTTAAATTGTGGATAAAGTAAGGATCAGTGTACCTTCACAGCCGTTTTTAAGTGGACAGGTTTCGTTGTGTTGCGTAGGGTCGGGTCGTTCGAAGCTGTTTTCAGGTAACCCAAAGTTAATGTGAAATCTGATTGCGCATCAGAAATCTTAGGGTTAGAAATCGATTTTATTTTGATATTAAAAGGTTGCGTGACAGTGACATTAAGTTAGTTGAATAGTGCAGCAATTTAATGACGTCGATTTAGCGTCTGTTTAGTGTGATTAGCAAATAGAAACCTAAGAACTTCATTTGATAGCTTAATAAGTTTTGTGTAAACTTTGAAATAGAGCACGGCTGTTGTACGACACTTTTTTTTCTTTAAATAGTTCTGTTACTTTTGATAAATCTTTTTCGAGATATCGTGAAGTTCGGCTGCCTGTAGGCATTCACGACATATGGCTGCTCTAAACCAAATGGAGGAAACTATCCGAAAAAGGCTTTTGAAAGGAGGAATAAAGAAACCTAGGCGGGATTACAATTTAAACGCGAGTCTTTTCATAAAGGGGGCCTGTAACCCTACATTCATCAATCAACGTCAATTTATTTACGAGTTAAGTTTAAGTTAGGCTCTCGGTAAGTTAGAGATCGCGCGAAAATCGCCAAGGGTCTGGGAAAGAATGTCACCCCAGTCCCTTCTTTGTACTTCCCTTACTTAACCAACTTTTTGCTCGGCCCCACAAACTGAGCGCCTGGAAGTGGCAGTAGTTCCATGGGTGCTGGAATAACTTCCTCAACCCTTCTTGAACATTATCAAGAATAAAAATGGGTAGTATCAACTTTGTTGATTGTAAAAGAAAGAAGAACTGAAGCCTACGTGAGTTCATCCACTGCAGTGATCATCATTTAATAACTACCTTCTTTTATTTACAAATTTAACTACAAAACTATTGAACATAAATACCACAGAGTTTGTATTATCTTAACCCCATGAAATCCCAGGAACTGTTCAAAAGGCTTTTCCGTGTTTTATGAAGAAAAACACTCCAACATAACGTTATACAATTATGATTTTTGCAACAGTTTGAGCCATTTAACATAATCATTTTCATACGAAATTTGACAACACAAATTTTCAAATTTCAACGACTTTTCAGCCTTGGAAAACAAAACTACCGTATTTATTAGATTAAGCACCCGAATAAGCGCCCACCTTGTAAGTATGGAAAGTAAATAAGCGTCCAGCCTCGAATCAGCACAAGGATCACATTCAGAGCCTCGATTACAACACAAGGGTCTAGTCAAAGTTTTTCGAGGTTCCTAAAGATAATATCAAACCCGATGCGTAGATCTATTAATTTAGTCGCGTGCACTATAGAACAAGTAAGGTATCTGCCACGGAGTAAAAACAATATTTCGTGATTTGTTCTGTCATACGACTACACTGCATACTTCTAAATGCACACTATGTGAGCTACACTAAAGTTTTAGTCGAAGCTATAAATTCGTCACTCTAACCTATGCAAAATGTACCCAGTAATAGATGGACGGGCAAGTTTAAAGGAAACTGAGATTAAGCGGAACTGACTTAGTAATGTCATTTGAATACCACGCCTTGAGTGACTTTTACCATCGATCTACGAAAAATATCTTACGCCCGTTTCCTCAAAAGGAGGATATCTTTAATTTGTCTTTGAGTCTAAAGTTAGTTTTTACTGAGTCATAAAGTTGATTAAATTGTTCGTAGTTTCTTGCACTCCCCATAGGGATTTTCAAAGTTTAACAGCAGCCTGATGTTCATCTTCCGGGCTACAACTGCCCTACCATCTGGAACGTTGGCATCAGCTGCTTCCACTGTGAGAGACTGTCACTTTGCGTCAACTACTGACTGGATTCACTCTGATTGGAGACTTCTTTGTCCATAAAACGCCTGAAAGACGTAATAAGATTGATATTGTGTAAAGAAACCATTCTATTGTTTCGGAAATGCCAAATAAAGTCGAAAGCATACATGTAAAAAATATTCAAAAGTTTAAGTCAGTTTAAAATCCCTGCGACCCATCCTGAAGTTTATCTTGATTTCTATCGCACAAAGTGACTGGGAGAATTGCTTATCAAACACCCTTGCAAAGCGCAGTGGCCCATTGCAAGTTGACCCCAAATCTTCTTAACACCCCATTACCTTTCTAGACCTATAAAATCTACATCGATCCTAAGATAGTTTTGTATTCTTCATTTCTGACTTTATCACTCACCTCCTTGCCTGTTGAAGCATCATCTCTTTTCTCTTTAACAACAGGGACTGTCTCACTGAAGATTGTGTTGAAAACTCCATCAAAGATGGCGATACACTCCTGTATCTCTCTCCCGGTGGTGTTTCATTAGGTGGTGGGCTCTCGTCACGCTTTGGACGCTGCTCCAACGAGGCAGCCTCTTCAAGTGCCTGTTCTCTCATCACTTCCGCATTATTAGATGCTTCTGTGCTGTCCTGTTCTGTCTCACTTGTAGAGCTTTCAGTTTCTTCAGGTGTATTTGAAGGTGTCAGTGAGTCTGAAATATGAGTATGCAAGGATCCATAAGCATATCTACGATAAGTGGCAAGAGTTTCGTGGGATGCTAATTTTTCCCACCTGACTGCATTGATGTTCACTTTGCCCCACCTCACCCAAATACACTGTTGAGTTTGAGGACCTGTTTACATGGAGGTGGGGCACCCCAGGTAAGTGAAGTGATACGCCTAGGATGGGTAACCCATCTGTCCATAAAATCCCTTAACTTATGTTGATCATGTTTACAACACACGTGGGGCAGCCTGCCTGGGCAGATTGCCGCAGATTGTCCAGTATGAGAGGTAGGGTAATACTGTCAGCCAGGGTCACAATTTGCCATGTAAATGCTGCAAGGTGGGATTAGGGTAACCTGCCTGGCCAGGGTCATGTTCCTGTTACATTAACAACAACTTCTAGCATTTTTGGCTTGGGATCCCAGGGTTAGATGATTTATATAGAAATTAAATCATCTTCCTTGGAATATCATCCAGCCTAGCACAAAAAGTCTTTTCTGAGCACATACCTGGGTGTGCTATCTGAAGGAGCTCTGAATCCTCTGATTGTTCCTCAGGTGGTGTCCAGACCTAAACAAGGCAAATTAAGTCACAGTGTTAAGATTCAGAAATTAGGATAACCTGTGAGTTGAAGCACGACCTGTGAGTTAAAGCATGACAATCACATTAACCCTTTAATTCCCAAGACCTCATTACTAATTCTCCTTACTGTCTTCAGAGTGATTATCATTATGTTAGTTTGGAGAATTTGGTATTGGATCAATTAGATATCCCATAATTGATATTTTTCTTTATTCTCATCACTTGTTTGCATGACATTGTACAGATAAAGTAAGGAGAAATTCTGTCTTGGTCACCTACGGGAGTTAAAGAGTTAACTACTGATGGAAAGAATAAACCCTATTTGGTTCACTTTTCTTTCACTCCTTCAATTTCTCAATAACCTTTTTTCAAAGTTCATGCACATATTTGTATGTAAGCATGCATACAGCGGAAAGCAGAATACGCTGCAGAAACCAGATGTTATTCCCCTTTGCCATCTAAGTCTCTTAGAAGATACCTACATTTACAGTTTCAATTCGCCCATAATATAAAATGTAATGTGCATGAATTTTACACGTGATTGGCACGTGCATATTAACAAAAGGACTTTAAGTTCTTACTATGGTTAGAGACTTGCCATTGAAGGAGATTGTAATATTTTAGCTTGGGATCTTTAGAGAAAGTTATCTTGTTGTCACTGTTTATCATTTTGGTCCCCACTTCAAAATCCTCCCACTTGCAATATTTCAATTCTAATTGAGGGACATCACTTACAGAAGGCACTGCTATGTTTCCCTCCAAAATATTATCAGTGGTGACCTCAAGGGAGTGAGTGTGTCTTAAGTCCTCCATAATGATGTTGAATGGCATATTTGGAAACATGGCCTGTACTTGGTGTGCCTAAAGATAAACATCACACCATTCTTAGTCAATTTTAAATAGGAAATTGACAGCAGAGTGAAATTATCCAATGACCTAAATACTGGAAAGGAACCATAGTTCTAACAGTGAGTAATGCTTGGATGATCTTGAATCTGACGATGACTTTCACTCAGCCTGGTCATCCATCAGTAAATCTCACAACTGATTACAATACATTATGAATGGACTGTTGCTCCTTGGCTCATTCCGATAAATTGCACAATAAAAAAATGGTTAAAAAGGATTGGAAGAAACAAAAACAAATTATTGACTGAAAATCCTTAATTATCAAAAACTGGTTCTTGGGATAATGCAATTCAAGAGTTTTCATTGGCTTAGCCATCATGGGTTATGAGCCATTAAACTATGCACACACATGAAGACAAGTTAAATGGGAAGTATTTTTCATACAGTTACAATCCCTTTGTTCTTACAAAATAAAGTTGGGAAGATATATCTCTATTTTGGGGCATTTTTAATAAACCAATTATTCCACTACCAATTGTTGGATATGAGATGATTTTAGCCAATGAGGCCTTGTTGGCTATTTGTCATCTCATATCCATTGTATGCTCATGGAGTGATTGTTTGATAAAGATTTACCATAGCTTCAATGCGGCTCTCTGGAAGTTGACCCTCAGCTGCATTTTCCACTCCAGTGTGCATGACCTCCACAGAGAAGCTTGGAAACCAGCTGGCTATCTGAGAACCTAAAGAGAAAATATGGCAAAGAATGGTTTACTCTCTTAATTACAAAGTAACAAGCAACTTGTCTAAAGTGGTGTTAAATTACCACCATCCCAGTCTGACTATTTGGCCATTAGGAGAAAATGGCTTTAACCTCACCATCAAAGTGGAAAAAGTGGTTTCTTCTTAGCCCACGCCCCATCATGAATGCAGCCACTCCTCTTGATTGCCTCTGCTCCTCCTGCTCAGGCTGCAGATCGCTGGCAAGTGACTGGCGGCAGGTAGGGCAGGAGGTGTCATTCTCCAGCCACGACCTGAGACAAGAACTAACCGAAAAAAAGTTCTTGATCAGCATTTTAACCATCAATGGGTGTTTTATCGAGTACAGAAGTAATTCTTGTTACCATATTGAGTACTGAAGAATTAACATGAGATAGAAAGAGTGTGTACATATAGCTGTAAAAAGGACAGTAAAGGCTCAAGTTGGAATGCTCCTCATTGGAGGAAATTAATTTGAACAATTCAAACAATTTCATACTTATGGAAAAGATGACCACATGGTAGCTTCCTTGCTGCAACCATGGAATCCCAGCAGATGGCACAATCATCATTATTCTTAATCAACTCTTCTTCTGTTGCCAAGGGAAACCTGCGGATCATATGCAGACAACCATCAATCAGATGTCAAATTAAACAAGTTGCATTCAACAAAAATATACAAATTTTGCCTGTACCACTGACAGACGTGTAAAATGATTCTATAAAAAATATAAAAAAAATTCACCACTGCAGCAAAATTATCACCTTTCATCTGCATCTCATTACTGCACATGTAAAATAGTAAGCTACATGGTCACATTTAACCCTTTCACTCCCACGATTGACCAAGGCAGAATTTCTCCTTACAATATCAATACA